GTCCAGAGTCTGCATCCCTGCATTCACTAGTGATTGCACACCCCCAGTGTGTCAGGGGAAAGTTACCTTCTGTCCTTGTCTCTTCTTGAAAGCTCACCGTCCTCACCTTGCTTGTGCTGGGATCTGAGATGTGTCCCCGCCTCCTTTCATGCTTCCCTCCCTCCCCATCCCACAGCCCTCATCCCGCAATGTAGGCAGATATCCTTCCTGCACTTAAACACACTTCCAGGGGGGTGTGGGTGACTCAGTCGGTTAAGCGTCCGACTTCAGCTCAAGTCATGATCTCACGGTTCGTGGGTTCGAATCCCACGTCAGGCTCTGTGCTCACAGCTCAGAGCCTGGAGCCTGCTTCCGATTCTGTGTCTCCCTCTCTCTCTGCCCCCTGCCCTGCTCACACTCTGTCTCTGTCTCTCAAAAAGTGAATAAGAGTTAACGAAAAAGAAAAATTAAAAAAAAAACAACAACAACACACTTCCAGACCATTCTGCCCATTTCATTTCCCACCCCACCTCCTCACTCTAAGCTCCAAGGGCTTTCTCTCAGCTCCTTTCGTCAGAACGCCACAGTCCTTGGCCTGAACAGCCACCCGCAGCCCTCCGCCTCCCCAGCGTGCACCCCTAGGCCCCCAGGAAGCGGCTACTACCTGGAACAGAGGGCGCCTTACTATCGAGCCCTTCTTTATACTTTCACCACACAAACATCTCCCTAAGTGACCCATGTTATTCCTCCACGCCACTGACGTCGTACTGCGTATTCTCTTGCAACCTGCCGTTCTGCTCAACACTGCCACAGCCTGATAGGCTGAATCCCTTCACTTCCGCCGTGGCAGAGCTCCGACTCCGTCCGGCGTCTCTACCCACCGTGCTGCTCAACGCCTGGGCCAATGCCAACGTTCTGTCTTCACAAACAATATTCCTAGCGCCACGTTTGTGCCCGTCTTCGTGCAGCTGGGGAGTTTTTCCAAGGCAAGCCTTCAGGTGTGTAACTGCACGTGGCACCTTCCAATTTTCTCCGCGAGGACAAATTAGGATTCAGAGGGGTTCTACCAATTCTCACCCTCACGCAGCCCACGAAAACATCCAATATCCTGCCGCTTTATGTGAGCAGTGGCCTGAAGGCTACAACCCTAACGCAAAACCGCTGTGTTAGCTACGCAGGACAACTGACCCGCTGGAACTTTACAGAGACCTGGGTGGAGGAGGGAGTGTTGGGCGTCACAATCACTTCAGGGCTCCTGGTCCGATGTCATTCACCTGAGAAATTATCTTCCTGGAGGCAGAAGGGCTTCAATACCGACAGCGTGGAAGGGGGAGGAAACTGCGTGACACCCAAGTGGAGTTGCCCACCGGGTATGTGAGACACGAGTTCTGTGGCAGGCAGAATTCCAAGCTGTCCCCAAGATCCCCCCTCAGTCCCCCGCCAGGAAAGGACGGGACGCACTCTCATGAGGTTACGTTATATGACACAGCTGGCTTTAAGAAAGGGAGGTTATCCTCTGTGGGCCTGACCTAATCAGATGACCAGTGATCCTGAAGGTCTGTTGTGAGGATGAGTGGAGGCAACATGCAGAGTCCCAGGCCCCAGGCCCGACAGGTTCTCTGCACGGGGGAGCCGCTGCTACCGCCATCTAAGTACTGAGCACTGCAAAGAGGTGTGACGATGAGTGAACACCTGTTAACAGTTACCGAGTGCCCACTGCATGCCAAGCACCGGTCTAAAGATTCCCCCAAAACTAACCGTCTTTCTGTGCACAACCCTACCCAGGCACACGCGGCCACTAGCCCTACTTCACGCGCGAGAAACTGAGGCACAGACGCTGCGCAGGCAGGCCATGCTCCTCTGAGGTCTTCCGGCTCGTTGTGGCAGAGATGAGATTCAGACCCGGACCTGTGGATGCAGGGCCCAAGGACTTAACCGGTGAAGAGCCTGAGAGCATCAAAGCCCAATCCCACTGTCTGACAGAGGAGAGAGCAGAGACGTGAAAGGCTCGGAAAGAAAAAGGGCAACGTGGTTAAGAGCTCTGGAATGGGAACATCTGGTCAGATTACAGCCCCGTGCTGCTTCCCAGCTCTGTAACTTGTTAGCTGCTGATTTCCTAACTGTCAGGTGGGCATGCCAAAGCTGCCCGCCTCACTCGGTTGGGAGGACCGGAGCCCAGGCAGCAGAGCACCTGGCACACGGCAAACTGTCACTAACCACCGTGAATCACCCAGGTCGGGAAGTCCATGTGCAACCGCCGACGGAAAGCAGAATACTCAGAATACTCAAGGCTAAGTTCAGCACTGATCCATTCGCAGACCCGGCGGCGCGGAGACAGAGGGAGATACAGCGAGAGGCCAGAGGGAGAGAGAAAAAAAGGAGAGAGCGAGAGAGCGAGAGCGAGAGAGAGAGAGAGAAGTAGAGAGCGGGAGAGAAAAGGCAGCACTGTTGCCAACAACCGTTCTGGAATCCCCACAGTTGCACTTGCTCCCACTGACGCTCACGGCTCCGGGCGGCTGTGAGGGGCATGCACCCTACTTTTAAGGAAGAAGGGCAAGGCTCAGAAGCGGAGGCCCTCGCCCGGTCCTCTCGCCTCCCGGCCGAGGGAAGCCCGACGGGACCCGGGACCCGGGACCCCAGCAGCGCGCACGGAGGGGGCGGGTGGCTCGCGTGGAGAAGGCGCCGGGCCTGGCCGCCGGCCCCGCTCACCTCCTCCTTCCGCGAGCGCTTGGACACCTTCTTCTCCATCTTGGCGGCCGTCTTCTCCGCCCCGCGGCCCTTCTTCTCCTTCTTGCCCTTCTTGCCCATCGCGCCGGTCCGAGGTGGAACCAGGACTCCCAGAGGGGCGGGCAGCGAAGCAGAGCGCGGCGCGGCGCACCGGAAATACGCACTCGCGGGGGCGGGCGCGGGCGCGGGCGCGGGGAAGCGTCACTTCCGGCGCGTTACGCGCGTGCTTCCGGCCGGCGGCCGAAACTCTCGGAGCCGGGGCGCTGGGGCTCTAGGGACTGGTTGGGCGCCCTCGGGCTGGGGGGCGCGTGGGTGGAAAGCTGCCGGCCCGGCCGTGGGAGGCCCCGCCTGCCCTCCCCCTGGGGCCCCGCCGAGCGAGCTGAGGTGGGCTGCGAGTGTTTACTGGATGCTGCCAAATTACTTAGCCTCGCAGAGTGACCCGGTTGGGTGACTTGGGACGGGAGCCACATTTTGCTCCTAACCTCGGACGGACCCTTTTGCGGGTTTAATTATAACTTCAACTTCCTTCCCCAGGCAAATGTTCATACATTTGCAAGGATTTCCAGGGAAGACAGTACCTCCTCCCGCACGGGGTTAGGTACTGAGGATCTCGTGCTAAACGAGGAAACGCGTCCTGCCATCCGCTGTCCACCGAGTTTCCTCAGATGTCCCGCGATAGAGGACTTGCTGCTTCAGCCTAGGGGAGGGCTGATGATCCCCCTCCAAGAGGAGTCAGCTCAGCAAGCCTGAGAAACTGAAACTGCCTGCTAGGAAATTGTGCTCTAGGATTGGACTGAAATACCCGTATAAATGGGAAATTTATTTGTAGGGCATGGAATACTATGGCTTGGACAGGGTTCAATGAAAATTCTTAACATTACTTAGAAAATGCCATCTTTGGGGCTCCTACGTGGCTCAGTCCATTAAGCATCTGACTCTTGATTTCTGCTCAGGTCATGCTCTCAGGGTTCATGAGTTCCAGCCCCATGTCTGGCTCTGTGCTGACAGCTCAGAGCCTGCATGGGATATTCTCTCTCTCTCTCTCTCTCTCTCTCTCTCTCTCTCTCTCTCTCTCTCTCTCTCTCTCTTCCCCTCCCCACCTCAAAATAAATAAATTTAGAGAAAAGGAAATGTCTTTTGGGCTCGTGATCAAGGAAATAGAGCAAATTAATGACAAAAGCAAGCAAGTATTTGGCAAAAAGAAAGCATAAGTCAAGAAATGATCTCGTTGCTTATTGTGCAAGTGAACTGCCACAGGGATCAGCCTCAAAGAAATTACCTTGGATCTGTGAAAATTAATAAAAGGAAACCTCACTAAAATGGAGTGGGGAGGCTAGACGGGGGAGCCAGCCACACCACTCAAGGTCAGTTACAGGAAGAATTCTCAATTATAGACCCCAATAGAATCATCAAGAGGAAAGGATCATCAGTTACAGGTCCCATAGGGAAAGATGTACACTTCCATTTTCTGCGAGAAATAGACCACCCCTGCAACTCAGCCAGTGAGAAGTCATCATCACCCTGGATTCCTGGTTTTCTTCTATGGACTTTTGTTCAAAACAACCCCTCCCAGCTTCCTCCGCCATAAAATATGGTTTTGCCATAGTTTGTGTGTCCTGAATTGCAATTCCTCTGCCATTGCTGAATAAACCCCTTTTTGCTAGTAAAACAACGGGTTTATTTTTTTTTTTTATGTTTATTTATTTTTGAGAGAGAGACCATGAGCCAGGGAGGGGCAGAGAGAGAGGGGGGCAGAGGACCCAAAGCAGGCCCTGTGCTGACGGTAGCAAGCTCAATGTGGGGCTTGGAATCGTGAACTGTGAGACCATGCATGACCTGAGCCAAAGTTGGATGCTCAACCGACTAAGCCACCCAGGTAGATTAACAGATCCAATCAATTACTCATCACCAAAAAGGCAGGGATAAATGCTTTTCCAACCAACCCCAACCCTTGTCCATAAACCTACTTATTTAAAAAGAAAAATGAAGTTTGGGGAAACTATGGGAAGAAGAGGTCGAGAAGGATTCCGGCTGGAACTGTGTCCAGCGCTGCCTGTAGGTGATTAGGAGACCATGTGTGATAAAAGGGGGAAAAAACAGAAGTATGTCCGAGAAGAGCTACAGCATCTCACAGTGAGCTGGCTCCTGAGCCTCCAGACATAATCACCTCCAACAATGAGCTACAAAGGGCCAAGTCCTTACTATTGCCCCACTTTCCTTCTAGTGCAATATGACTTTAAAACATACCTAATCCTTTTGTACTTTTCTAAGAATATCGGGTGACCTCGAGGCAATGCACTTGAAGCCAAATGACCCTTGAGTCCCAGCGCATCTGTAGGAAATTCATTACAGTGTTCCCCTCTTGAAGGCTGAGAAAGGGAGAGCATATTCCCTTTTAAGATTTAGAAGGGTCTGGTCGATGTAGGGCTTCATGCTTTTATTATCCGAAAGAATCTTGAAGCCAAGTTGGAAGGTGCTTGGACGATATTTGTCATGGTGATTTACGTGAGGTTGAAGTTCTCATTACCCAGACACAGAGAGGCTAGAACATTTAAAATGAGATCAGAATCCTAAAATGGTGACAAGATTAACTACATAGTCCTATTTTAGTGAAATCATACTTTTGAAACTTTAATGGGTTATCTTACATCTAATATAACGTTAATGGCTAGAGTGTATCTTTTGTGTGGACAGGCGCCCTCTGCTGTCTTCAAGTTGAAACCCAGAAGAGAAAACTGATTAACAATGGCTCGACCTCATTACCCTCATTGCAAATAATCAGTGTTGTTGGAAAGCTCTCCCAAATGCGGTATGGATGTTGTGGTTCTTTGCATGTTTCCCATCTGGAAAAAATGAGAATATTAAACTAGCCCACTTACTACACAAAAATCTTGGGAGAATCCAGCGAGATAACAAAAAAAAAACTTAGAAAATTTCGCAAAATGCAAACTTAGATTCTGTGTGCTGTGAAATGACAGCATGAAATAGAGCTGGCTGACAATCATTTCATGTAACAACATTAACTGGACTGCAGCGTGTGAACATTGTACCAGAATAGGAGATACAAAACAGAAGTCATGCCCACCAGCTTCCAGGAAGTTTGGTTCTAACAAGACAGAGAAACATAGATGTTCCTTAAATGCTTTGTGAAGTGAAGCAAGGAATAAGGAGGGATGGAGGAAGGGAGGAAGGGGTTAGGAGAGAAAGGGGGGAGAGTGAAATCAACCCGTTGCTTTGTACATTTGTCCGGTTTTCTAGAAGCCTGAAGGGAAGGGGTAGACCCAGTCTCCTTGCTACATCGAGGCTGACAGCAAAATTCTCTCCTCTCTGGGGTTAAAATGTGCTGCTTAATTTCCAAGTATTTGGGGACCTTTTCTCCTTTTTTTCTAATTTAATCCATTTATTTGAAATCTTTAAGAGTTCTCGGTCTCCTTTTGATGACGGTTCAGGTGCATCTTACAAATTGTAATGCGTTATGGTTTGACTTCCATTCAGTTCAAGATACTGCCTAATTTCTCTTTTGATCTCTTCTTAGACCCCTGGGTTACTTAGAAGTGTGCTATTTAGTTTCTAAAGACTTTGAGATTTTCCAAAGATCTTTCTGGAAAGTTTTTCCCCCTCTACCTGCTTTTATGATCGTATCTTCCTCCTTATTATCCTGCAGTTTCACTAAGATATATTTAGATATTAATTCTTTATTTCTCTTGCCTGGGGTTCGGTAGTCTTCCTGAAGCTGGGGACGGAGGCTATATTGTGTCCAGGAACTTCTCTCTCATTTTCTCTTCAGAGGATGCTATCTGTTCTCGCTCCTCTTGTCCTGGAGCTCCAGTTAAACACATGCCACCCCTTTCCCAGTCCTTGTTTCAGGTCTCTTAACTCCTGTCCACATTTTCCATTTCTTTGTCTCTTTGTACCACATTCTGGATCATTCTTTCTTTCAAAAGTTCTATTTCTTTTCTCAAAGCTGCTAGGTCACGTGTATAGCTTTCTGTTCTCTGCAGATATTTTAAAGCTTGTCTTCTATTTCCTTAAAGTACGTATATTAATCAGTTTATGCTGCAGTAATGCTGCTCATTTTCTTCAGAGCACAGCTTGTGTGTATCCTTTGAAAGATTTCGGCGAAAGCGTCTTTCTCCAGAGGGGAATTGCCTTAGCTTCTGCCAGAGAACCATGGCGCTGCTGGTTCACGACATCCCGAGCCCAGATTCGTAGCCTAAGTTCTTTCTGACAACCCAGGCCATGCAAATGTAGGCTGAAAAATCCAAGGATGGGCAGGGATATGGTTATAACACCTCAGGATCTTTGCCTCCCCACCTGCTCAGCACTGAGGTGACGTCCTTGTGGTCCCCAAAGTATTGGGGGGCAGGGTTGCTCACTCTGAGGAAACTCAGCTTAACCTGAGATCCTCTAACTTCTTTTAGATCCCACCTGGGTCAGCCTTGGGCTTGATGAATTTTTGCCCCTGCCCTTTGAGCCTGTCAAAACTGAAGCCGAACATGGCAACGCTTGCTCATGCCTGGAATCAAAAGCCATTTGCAGAATCTAGTTTCTACCCGATGTTTTTGCTTCTAGTTTCTGTTAGATGCTGATCTGGTAACACTTTGCTCCTTGTTCATTTTGCAGTGTCTTTAAGAAGACTCGTTTCGACGTTTGCCCAGCATTCTCAGTTGCTTGGAACGGACAACTGGTCCATTGACACAATCCACCATGCTGCAGCCAGCTTCCTGTTTTAAATCGTAGTTTTCAGGATGTAATCTGGAAAATACAGACAAGGCTAAGAAGGAAACTTCAAGGCCGCCCACAGGCTTCCCTCCCACGTGCAGCCACTCTGAGCATTTGTGGGACTTTCCTGCCGACTGATGATGAACAAAAATCTGCGTTGCCATTTCCCTCATCTGCTCGGCTCCTTGTACAGGACCCCTTGCCCTGTCCCTCTTTATCACTGGATCTCAGAGGCATCACATGAAGATCAAGGACAGTTCGGAGGTTGTCAGATACAAAAACTGGGGAGAAGGCAACACCAAAACCCGGAAAATAATGCCGAAAATGGAACGGAAGCCGGGAGCCATGCTGGATACGGT